TCTGCCTCCCAAGTGCTGGGATTAAAGGTGTGCACCACCACACCTGGCTTACTGATTTTTTAAAAAATATTTTATTTATTATTTATTTTATGTGTATGAGTGTATTGCCTGCATGTAGTTAAGTACACCATATTATACAATGCTATGGAGGACAGAAGAGGCCATCAGATCCCCTGGAACTGGAGTTACGGACAGTTGTTAGCTGCCATGTAGATGCTAGGATTTGAACCCACGGCTTCTTCAAGAACAACCTGAGCCATCTCTCCAGCATCAGATTAACTGATTTTTAAAACCATTTGTTTTCTACATGGTTTAAGGCTTCAGGTACTAATTCAAACACCTAAATGAGTGAGTTTCACATTTCTGCATTTCAAACACTTCTACAAGACCAGTACCTGATTTTATAAAGCTGGTTTGAAGTGAAGGGTCTCCAGGAGAAACATACTGTTGATTTCTTGTTAAATTTGTAGTCCCAGATACAGCTGGTTGGGCTACATGAGGAAAATGGTTTGTCTGTGAACCTGTGGCTGGATAGTTATATTGCCAATTCAAGGGTAGTGGTGGGTTGGCTCCAGGAAGAAAGCTACCAGAAGGCATTGGTGTAGCAGCTGGGTTCTGAGAAGCAGGCAGTGGTGTTTGGGGAACAGGACCACTATGAAGTGAAGGTGGTACTGGATTAGAAGCCACAGGTGGTCTGTTAAGAGTCTGTGCAGATCCCTGAGAACCACCATAGTTCGACTGTCCAGAGAATGGATTCAAACTCTTTGCTGGCATTAGATGAGGGTAGGATCCTGGAAGCTGGGAATCATATCCTTGGCCCGCTGACACTTGTGAGGACATCAGTGCATTTTGAACAGGACCTTCCAATAAGACAAGAGAAAAAATTGATTAGTCTTGTAAACAAATATAGCAATCGTTTTAAAAATATAGTAGAGGGTAAGTGTGTGGCTCACATAAAAGATCCTGGGTCCAACACCAGGATTAGAAAAAAATATAAACACAACACTCAGAAGGGTGAGGCAAGAGGACTGTGAATTCCAAGCTAACCTAGGCTATAGTGAGACTCAAAACAAGGGGCTAGAGCACCCAACTGTTATTGCACAGAACCTGGGTTTAGTTCCCAGCACCCAGGTAGTGGCTCACAATCTGTAACTCCATTTCCATAGGGATCCAATGTCCACTTCTGGCCTACATGGTACACATACATATACATGGGAAACCACTCATACACATAAATGTTAAAAAAAAACAACTTTAAAAACTCCAGCAAATGTCATTACATTCAACAATAAAAAAAAAAACAATTTAAAAAACAAAGGATGGGGCTGGAGAGATGGTTCAGCAGTTAAGTCTTGCAGAGGACCAGGGTTCGATTCCCAGCACCCACATGGTGGCTATGAACTGTCCTTAACCCCAGTTCCAGGGGAATCTGAAGTCTTCTTCTGACCCTTGTGGCATTACATGACATGGGTGCACTCATATACATGCAGGCAATACACTCATACACATAAAATAAAAATAATAAAAATAAAATATTAAAAAAATAAAATTAAATAAATAAAAATTAAAGGATCAAGCCAGGCGTGGTGGCACACACCTTTAATCCCACCACTTGGGAAGCAGAGGCAGGCGAATCTCTTTGAGTTCAAAGCCAACCTGGTCTACATAGTGAGTTGCAAGCCAGCTGGGGCTACAGGGAGACCCTGACTCAAAAAGACCAAAAAAAAAAAGGATCTTTCTAGGGCTGGAGAGCTGGCTCAATGGTTAAGAACACTGACTGTTCTTGCAGAAGACCCGGGTTTGAATCCCAGCACCCTCACGGCAGCTAACAACTGTCCGTAACTCCAGTTCCAGAGGACAGAAGAGGCTGTCCTCCTCGGGCATTGTAGGACACGGGTGCACTTACCTACATGCAGGCAATACACACACACACATAACATAAAAATGAAAAAAGGATCTTTCCAAAAGAGATATACAAATGTTCAATGAACACATGCAGAGACATTCATTTGGGGCTGGAGAGGTGGTTCTGTAGCTAAGAGTGCTTTATGAGCAATCATAAGAACCAGAGTTCAGACCCCAGCACCCACATAACAAGCAGGTATCAGAAACATCATAACTCCAACGCCAAGGGATCTGATGCCCTCTTCTGGCCTCTACATGGGCACAGGCACTTTCATCTCCATACATGTATGCACATACATTCACACAGACACATACACATATACATACATAGCTTCATTAATTAAACCTAAAAAAAAAAGACATGTATTTAACATTGATAGTCATCAGAGAAATGCAAATCAAAACCAAAACAATGACAACCGATTAGGATGGTTAAAACAAAAAAGATGACATGTGGGATCTGGTGATACCTCTAGGTAGATGGTACCAGAATTGACTGTATGGTTGGTGAGTAGGGTAGGTTGAGTTGTAGGTGGTGTCCACTGGAGAACTGCTTGGCATGTGCTACCCCCCCAACATGGCCACACAAATATTCTCTACTGTGAATGACAGAACAGAGAGCAAGCCATCTCTCCAGCTCCAGGATCTACTTCTTGAAGTCATTCATTTTCACTAATTGCCCATCTCCCTCTTTTTTCCCTTAGCAAGATGGTATTAAAAAGCCTAAATACCTTTTTTGTTTGTTTTTTATTATTTGTTTTCCTGGTTTCTAAACAGGGCCTCATGTACCCTGGTCGATCTTGAATTCTCTATGTAGCCACAGCTGATCTTGAACTCCTGATCCTCCTGCCTCTACCTCCCAAGTGCTGGGATTGCAGGCATATGCCACCATGGCCTATTAACCAGGTAGTCATGTGTAGCTTTATTAAGGACAGTCTGGGAAATGTGTAGGAACAGAGGCCAAATTAGACAAGAAACGAAGCACAAGAGTCAATCCAGTACAGAGAAGTGTTTCACAATCATGCAAACAGCAGCTTCAGAGCCAAAAAGGAACCCACAACAACAGTACAAACTCAGATCCCAGGTCCTCCTTTAGTAAACTCCACATTCCAAAAGACTCAATGGAATGGAGCTGGAAAGATGGCTCAGTGGTTAAGAGCACTAGCTGCTCTTGCAGAGGATCCAGGTTCAATTCCCAGCACTCACAAGGCAGCTAATAACCATCTGTAACTCCAGTTCCTAGGGAATTGTACACCCTTTTCTGATCTCTGCAGGTAATGCACATCACAGGTACACTTATACATAGCAGGCATAACACTGACTTATACACAGAAAATTTTAAAAAATTTTAATCACATTTTTTGACAGCAATATATTCCTTGAAATGTTCTTTTTTTTTTTTTTTTTTTTTTTTTTTTTTTTTTTGAGACAGGATCTTATCCCAGCTGGCCTTGAACTGACTATTTCCATCAGGTTGAACTGACTATTTCCATCAGGTTGGCCACAGTCTCACAGAGATCCACCTGGCTCTGCCTCCCAACTGGTAGGATTAAAGGTGTGCTGCCACCATGCCTGTCATGTAAGTGCTTTTTTTTTGTCTTTTTGAAGCAGGGTCTCCCTGTAGCCCCAGCTGTCCTGGAACTCACTATGTAGACCAGGCTGGCCTTGAACTCACAGAGATCTGCCTGCCTCTGCCTCCCAAGTGCTGGGACTACAGGTACGCGCCACCACGCCCAGCTGTAAGTGCTTTTTAAAAAATAAATTTTCTACCTGAGGAGCTATTGGCAAACAAGGACTGTTGAGAAGGGGAGATTTGGTCCTGTTTAAGCGTGAGACTTTTAGTACATTTGTCAGGCTTCAGTGATGAACCCATACCAAAGGCATTTGGGGACACAACCTGACACTATAGGCATATGCACATATATAAATATATGTGCATTATGTTACATAATAAATTTTGGGAATTTAGAAGAGGGGTTACAGATATGGGAAAGGATCTAATTTTGATCAAAATATATTACATGAAGTCTGTAATAATTCAATACAATAAAAAATTAAAAAATAAGAAAGTAAATAAA